ATTATTTTTAAAAGCTAATCAGAGAAGGTCTCACTGATAGGATGACACATGAACAGAGACCTGAAGGAAGGGAAGAAAGGAGCCATGGCATCAGTACCATTCCAAAGCAACAGAGAAAAACAGTATATAGAAAGTGGAGGTGCTAGACCATTTTTGAGATAGCGTCCCCTTTCAACATATTTTGACATTGTGGTTTTTAGGTTTCAGAGGTCATATTTATCACAAGCAGTTTCAGAATTGTACCAACAGTGAGAAATTATAAAATGTTATCTCAACTTAAAGATATTAACAATGATTTTTACAGTCGTGTCTTTATGGACAATTTCAACATTTACAGGTTCATCACTGAGCAGTTGATCTAATCTAGTTATAGTCAATTTTCATTAATCATAGTAGTTAAGACCCATAAAGTCACCCCAAACACTGAATTAGTGAATACTGAACCATTGCTCTTAGGGGAAATACAGGGTTAGGTTCCTGCCAATGTCTGGTCACAACATTTTTGTCAACCAACTAAGAGATAACCTATTTTGTGTGTGTTTCTGTTTAAAGACACCTTATTTAATATATATTGTTGATTCATTAACATTGAATTCACACCCAGCAGAACTATAACTTGTGTCTGAACAAAGCTTGTCTAATGTACATATTTTCTCCATAAGGCACATAAAAGCCTTCTTGTGCTTAGGAACATTAAACAGCATTATAGCACTGTGCTTCGGGACCACTTTAAACAGCAAAATCACCAACAAAAAGCACAAAAATGCAAAAAATGTGGCAATAAAAGACCTAAAAAGGACACTTGTTTACAGTGTGAGAACTGAAATAAGAAATCAGAACTTCATCTTGTTCAACCTTCACTAAGAATTTGCCCATTTGGGCAACTCAGGCTTTTCGCCACTGCGTGCATGTTTGTGAATGATTGCAAAATGTGGCGAGTATTGATTTTGGGATTGCAAATAAACTTTAGTGAGTAGGAAAATTTAAAAATAATGGAATCCATGAATAATGAAGATCAATGTATTTTAATAACCGATATTTGACTAGAGCTGTTTATTTCAGGCACTGATGACTAGATTGAATTATGTTCTCAACAATTGATCTGTTAGGTTGGAAGTTGCCTCCTATGAAAGTTTAAAATTTATACATATCTAATTCAACGTCCTTCATTCAGACTAGACCTATGAGTGGTTAAGGAAAATAGCTGTCTTTATGGTGTGATTTGACCAGGAACCACCTATATTCAAATATATCACACCGCTCCTCCTTACCTCTTCCTCATTGCTCTGAATAACTGTTTGTTCCTATAGACGGAATTGAACGAACACATTAAAAAATAAAGCTCTAAAAATCATAGATCTGGAATGTATTTTTTTTTGTTAAAATATCATTGCTGATGTAGCAGATGTGAATCTATCCTACAAATGCTAGTACGCAAGAAATATTGTTTTGTTTTTCAAAATATAATGTATAACCAACTTGAGCCCCAGTCCAATTGGTCTAGTGTCTTAGCCAGTTGGGATTGCCATAACAAAAATACCGTAGACTTGGTGGCTTAAACAGCAGACATTTATTTTCTCATGGTTCTGGAGGCTGGAAGTCCGCTATCAGGGTGCCAAGCACGGTCAGGTTATACTGAAGGCCCTCTCCCTGGCTTATAGACAGCCAACTCTCTCCGAGTGCTCACATGGCTTTTCTCAGTGTGTGTGCATGGAGAGAGAGAGAAAGTGAGTTAGTTCTCTAGTGTCTCTTCTTGTAGGGATACTAACCCTATTGGATCAGGGCCTCACCTTTATGACCTCATTTAACCTTAATTATTTCATTTATGGTTATATCTCCCAATAGTCACGTTGGGAGTTAAGGCTTCAATATATGAAATTGGGGGGCACACAAACATTTGATCTATAACAGCTGGTGTTTCTATTCACTCTCAGCTTTGCCAAAGATTCCAAGCCCATCTTATACCTGGACAAGTGGCAGCTAAAGGGAAAAAAAAGATTCCAAGCCCTAGGAACAGCAAGGAAGCAGATGTATTCCCAGACCTAAAGGGATCACATAGGCAGGGCCCATAGATTATCCAATGACCAAGGGCTTTGGTGCTAGGTAAGATCCTGGAACTTGGAATGCCTGAGCCTGCATGGTCCTGACTACGGCTGCATGTGTGCTCAGAGAACCCCACAGCACACACGTAGGATCCTGTTCTTCTGAGACCCACCAACCTGTGTCGTTGCCAATGTGGGGGAATTTTTCCCTTTCTCTCTTCTTTCCCTCAAAGGCATTCTATTTTCTCTCCTCTCCTTCTGGGACATTTTAAAATAATCTCTTCAAAGAGTTTAGAAGGCTTTTCTAAGAGACAGGAAAAACAGACAACTTCAAGAAGCTTCTGCATGCCTGCAGAATCTCTAAGATAAAGTTATAAAAGGGCCTGAATGTCTGTTGAAAGTATGAGAAGGGAGTACAACACTCATTAAATACCACAATTAGTTAATCATGCTATACTAATCCACCATCTAAAGGGAAAATTTTATTGTTAGTCATTATCTCCAGCTCAATAGTTTTAATAGAAGATCTCAATATTTTTATATTGAAAAGATATTGGAGACTGCCTAACAAAACATTAAATATTAAGATCACAAGCTAGATAGCAGTGGAGCTAATACTAGAACCCACATATTTTGGCTCCGAGTTCTGTGTTTTCTCCACTGAATTGTTCAAAAGCAAGCCACACAATTCCCAAAAGAAACCCAAATTTTAGGTTAATTTTTACTTCCATAATGTTAACAGATACCATGAAATTGTTCTTTTCTGATTATCAAAAAAGGTACAGTTTATAGTGGTGCTTTTAAGAAGATGAAATGTCAAGTTGTATTAAAAGATATAATGACTCTGAAAATAATATTGTATTTACTCATAATTAGAAAAAGAAAATTCAAGATTTTGTCAAATTCAGATGCTTTCTTTAACTTTTTCTAGTGATATTTGAGTACTTGGTTTCTCTTTCCTATTTTGCTAAAACATTTTGGGTTTAAAATAACCAGTGGGTATGCTTTCTTTTCTTTTTTGGTGAGGGGGAGGGACTTAATCATCTACAACACTTGTTTTAAGTGAGTTGGAAAGTTAGGAATATGATTTCATCCTAAGTTGGCCATTGTGCAGTTTGCCTCCATACCTGATATAAATTACATATTGTTTGAAACCATGGTAAGGTTCCAGATGTATGTATATAAGCAATCCTAGAATTTACTCTGTTCTTGGGCACCTAATTAAATTTTATTGACCTAAATTCATATTTGAATTCAGTTACTTTGTCACTGTGCCTTCCAACTAGCTTAGCATATTACCTAGCAATTTTACAGTATAGAATATTTCAGGTAATTATCAATTATTGTCTGCATTATGGA